TGCTAAGGGCTACACTCAAATGTATGGTATTGACTATCTTGAGACATTTGCTCCTGTAGCTAAGATGACCTCAGTCAGGGTTTTGTTATCTCTAGCCGCTACTTTTGATTGGCCCCTACACCCGTTTGATGTTAAAAATGCCTTCTTGAATGGAGACCTACATGAAGAGGTCTATATGTCTTTGCCTCCAGGGGCAGTTTGATGTTAAAAATGCCTTCTTGAATGGAGACCTACATGAAGAGGTCTATATGTCTTTGCCTCTAGGGGTGTATGGGAAGGAAATACAGGGCAAGGTGTGTAAACTGCAGAAATCTATTTATGGTCTCAAACAGTCTCGTCGGGCTTGGTTTGAGAGGTTTAGGGCTGCTCATCTCTTTTGGCTACACACAAACTCAATCTGATCATACCTTGTTCTTGAAGAGAAATGACTCTCTGGTGACCTTCTTGATAGTTTATGTTGATGATGTTGTGGTCACGGGTAATGATACTCAAGAGGTCAGTAAACTAAAAAGATTTCTCAACTCTGAATTTGAGATCAAGGATTTGGGAGATCTTCGTATTTTTTGGGCATTGAAGTTGCTAGGTCTAAGGATGGTATCTTCATTTCTCAGCGTAAATATGTCCTTAACCTCCTTGCTGAGACTAGTAAACTTGGAGCTAAACCAATCTCCACTCCTATTGATCCCAGTCATAAGCTTTCTGCTACAGATGGTGAGCTTTTATCTGATAAGGGGGTGTTTCAGATATTTCCTATGCAGTAAGTGTTATCAGTCAATTTATGCATTCTCCCAGAGATACTCATTTAGCTGCTGTAGAAAGGGTTCTGTGTTACTTGAAAGGTACTCCAGGGAAAGGTATTCTATTTGCCAAACATGGACACATAAAGCTGGAAGTTTTTACTGATGCTAATTGGGCAGGATGTATTGATTATAGGAGATCCACCTCAGGTTATTGTGCTCTAGTCGCTGGGAACATTGTGTCATGGAGGAGTAAGAAACAGTCTGTAGTTGCTAGATCCTCAACTGAAGCAGAATACAGGGCAATGGCACATGGTGTGTTAGAATTACTGTGGCTACGGTCCCTTTTAGAAGAATTGGGGGTTGACTACGAGAAGCCAATRATGCTCTAYTRTGACAACCAAGYAGCTATCAACATTGCACATAATCCTGTTCAACATGACAGAACTAAGCACATTGAGGTTGATAGACATTTTATAAGGGAAAGAGTTTCCTCAGGAGAAGTTTGCTTGTCATTCATCACATCAGACGAACAATTGGCTGATATCTTGACCAAGGGAGTTCCAAGAGGGAAAATGACACACTATATA